GTTTGGAATACTGAGTTTAAATGTTTGACTTAACTGCTTACATATAATAGTTCATGCCATTCTTTGTAATAATGTTTTTTGTTTTTTTCTGAGATGTTATTCTAGAGATATGGCTATGGACCCTATAAGCATAACTATTTTAAACGCTTCGTGGACCTGTAGCTCCCTCTCGTATGTGCAGATGGTTTTGGTGTTAAGATTCTGTTACAACTTATGTGTTTAGTCTAAATGTTCATATGTTCCAACAGAGCAATTATGGAGGGCAAAACAAGTTTATGGGGCAACAACAGCGACAAGTTCATATTCGATCAATGCCAAGCCCGAATTCTGGTGTTAACACCCGAAATCCCTCATTTTCTACTCAGAGAGATACCCAGTACATTCCTCAGCCTCCCACAAATGTTTATCAAAAAAGCCAACAACAACAACGACTTCAAAGAACCATTTCAATGCCAGGTAAGTTTATGTTTCACATAATTATCTGTAAATATTATTGATAACCAAAGTTTTACATGTTTCAAAAAGTCACTGTTTAAGATCAAAAGTTCATCTAATTTCTAACTTGGCTTGACATCCTAAACTTTCATGAAACTATACTTTTAAATACAAATTAAGAAAGACAGTTATAGATTAAACTATCATAAATGCAACCTTTGAAATAATGGTTTTGAATTGTCCAGGACTGTTGTTTCAGTGTTTATCACTTAAAATTTGATGGTATTTAAAACACAGTTGAAATAAACCTGAATGTACAATACTATGACTGTTTCAAAAATAAATAGAAATTCTCATTCACATTTTGAAGATGCATCATTTGTGGTCAATTGTATAAATAACACAGAATATAGCAGGTTTAAATGTAACCTGAGAATTTAGTAATTAATGAGGTGAAATAGTGTTGATAATTGCTTCCTAAAAAAGAAAAAAAATTTTTTTTCAGAATTCAATTAATCTGTAGCATTATTTTTGTTGCATTTGTGCAGTGTTAAGTTTTCTTAGTGGCTAGTCATCAGTTAAAGATTTATAAATCATGAAAAATATTATTTTCAGGACGGGTTAACTCTCCTTGTACACCCCAAGGGGGAGGATTTGTCGGTGGAGAACCTCTTCTCTCACCTCAGCCACAAGCTTCTCCAAGTTACAGCAGTCATTCATTGCCTGGAACCCCAGTTCCTAGCTCAGTTAGTGCAACTAGCACTTTAGTTACAACAACTTCACCATCCAGCTATAGCCTAGCAGGTGACAGCTCTAATTATTTTGACCAGCAAGGCCTCCAGCTTTATAACACTACAGCAGGAGAGTGGTAAGCCTTGCTTTTGTATTTGTTACCATCATTTTACACTTCAAGAGTTATGCCTGAGTTGTGAATCATTATGTTATTTCTTATATAATGTAAATATATACAAATTCTCATATGATTTGAACTTGATAATTGGTTTATTATGATTTATATTTTTCACTCTTTGAACTTATTGTGACTGCTTATCTACACCACCTTTTTTTTTCTCCCAGTCGGAGTCGTGTTGCATCTGGAGGAATGACATCTGAGTTTGTGCGTCAGGAACTAAGAGCTAAAGTTGGAGCAAGAACTCAACAGCAGCAGCAGCAAGGAGTGGTAAGAAAAAACTGGATTTGTGTTATATTCTAAATTCAAACGTTTGTGGTTTCTGTCTAAAATGGGAAATCGTGTACAAGTTCTTTCTCTGTTTGTAACTGTATATGTCTCCATGAGAGTTGCATTACGTACCTAACACATAGACAATTTAGTGTATTAAAATTAGAAAATATATTTCTCATTCTGGGATAAAAAGTTTTTGTTATGATTTTGTACAGAGTTCCATATATCAGTATCCACGTAGAATGTTTCAGTGTAGTTTGATGAACTCTTATTTATATGTACTTGCTCCTAAAATAGCTATATTAATTTTTCTCAAAACCTTTAGTTTTGTAATCTCACAAGTTGAAATGCAGTGGGAAATTAGTATTTGGTTTTTCTCCTCTTTTACATTAGTAACAATGTTTTCTCAAATAGTAACAAAATCTTGTATCTAACAACAGGTTTTTTTGCTATAGATTAAATAGTATCACAGAATAATAAACACAAGTTTTTAGCAGTTTTTGATGATTTTCTTTTATAAGTAACCAGAATTATACCCATATTTCACCATGACAGTGTCTTTAGATATATAAAAAAATGATGGAATTAAATAACTTATAAAGCTGATCTATGTGCTCAGTATGAACTCTTTTATTTTTTGTTCAACCATACTATAACAAGAATGTCACCATCCTTATCCTAACAGGGCTTTTAAAGCTTTTTGAAAGATGTAATGTAATATGTATATTTCATAAAACAAGTTGGTTAACTCTTTCAGCACGGGCTCGATCCCTGGGACCAACCTCATAACCATTTTGTACTTGTTATAATTTTCATGCAATAACTTTTAAAATAGTAAGCAAATGTTAACGAAATTTGGCAGATTATCAGTAAACATTACAATGCTTTCATACTTAAAATATCTAATTTTTTTATTAAGTTTTAAGGTTTGTAAGGCAATGTTTCTCTCATGTCTTTTTTCTTTCACTATGTTGCCTATCTATCATG